CTTCTAAGAGGTTGACTTCTAGACAAAGCATCTTGTTCCCTACAACATCATCATCATCATTATCGTCAACTCAACCAAGTTTTATTGTCTGGATCTTGTCACATAGGTATGTGACAATCCCCTTTCTTTGTCATTAACAACTATTATATTGGATAATAAAGATCCAGTAGTGTTTCGGATATAGTGCTCTTAGTTAAGAAGACTAAGCAGATATTTAGAAAAATGCTATCGAGCTCATGGATAGTCAAGACTTCTTGCTATTCATCCAAAACTCAACTAACCTGGCTAGATTTTACATTAGATACAAGGGATTAGATGTCTCATTCCTAGTTCAAATTTGTTTGTTTTTCAAGTATCAGTTATTGATCATGAATGGTAGTGTTTGCCTAGATGATAGGATTAGAGGATGAGTATATGTTGATTTTGTCTGTGGTGATAATATGATTATAGGTTCGTCGAGTCTGTGATGATGATATGAGTATAGGTTTGTTGAAAGAGATTACTATGTGGTGGCTTGCATGTCGAATACACGCTTGAAGAAGACTTTTGAATTACTTGATGCCTGCATAATCATGAAATTTGTTTACTACAGGTTTAATATGCTTTTTAAGTGATTGTTTCTTAGCCTATCTATTTCTATATTAAGACTTGCAGGATTAATATATTCCAAACTTTCGATGCTTTGAATTAGTTGTATAACTAAAAGGAGTTTTTTACCCCCTAGGTTACTAGGGTTAATGTTATTTTGACTCGGAATACCCTATCAAATAGAAGGAAAATTGTTGCCATTCTGGATATTCTAATTAGGGTGGAGTTTATATTTTGTATATGGAGGATTATATCCAATAGAGTGAAGGCCAAAGAAAAGATTGAAGTAGGGCTTATATGGTTCAGGTTGTTACTTCAAGGATTTCGGACCTTTGTAGTGGAAGGTCAAATAGATGTGCATGTGTGATAGTTATTGAAAGCAATACTTTGATTCATAAACTATTCCCACTCGATAATGTAGTGTTATCTATGTTAATACAGGAATAAAGGGTCATCACGTACCTACGTGGGCAAGATCCAACAACAAAACTTGAGTTAATGACGATGATAATGATGATGATGATGATGTAGAAAGCGAAGTGCTTTGTTTGGAAAGTCAGCTTCTTGATGGTAGGCACCTTGTTCTGACGATTGGATGGTCTGAATTTAGATAAGATGTCAGGAGCTCGAGGCTTGGCTCAACCAAAGATAGTATTGAAAGACTTGAACAGAGCATGTAGAACATGGAGCATAGCTCGAGCTTTTCGAGAGGCTTATATGTGAAGTAGAAAAATGGTTATTTTTCATGGTTGGTGTCACAAGAGCACTTGTAAAGTCATAGTTGTTGATATGTGACTGATTGGTTGATTCTGTTAGTCATTGCTCTCTTGAGGTGGTTGTGGGGCACTCAATACCAACCATGTTGAGATGCTAATTGTGTTGATATATGGGCATACGAAGTGATTTGATTTGGACACGTTGATGTTGATCGAAGAGAGAATGAGCATCGATTATCGGGTCTTGGGGTTTCTTAGCAAATGGACTAGGGTGGTAAATTGTATTCTGACAATTCAAAAGATGAAATTGTACTAACAGAAATTTCTGTTTCCCATTTGGAGGATAAGTAAAAAATTTGTATTATCTTAAGTGTGTTTGAATGAAATACTTGCATGTTAGGTGATAGTGCTTAGGTACACACTTACGAAAAAGATACTAGCTCATATGAGGAGCCACTAACCGATTCCGCAAAGAATTATTAAAAATTTTTAAGTAAATTTCTTCCTGAACTATTTATTGTATAGCCTTGGTAGTATTTCATTCAACTGGTTTATTTAATTCATGATTGGGTTGTTTGCACCTTTGTGCCCTAGAATTTACACCTTTCTAACTTTGATTCTCCGAAGTATTTGTATATCATTATTGGATTACTGATCTATATTTACACAAAAGAGGAGATCCAAAAGATGAATCAAGGGATAACCCAAGGAGCAAAGAGACTTTTAACTATCATTGAAGAAAAAATGAGTGCGGGAGAAATGAAGAGCCCCTTGCTTCTTTATTAGACAATCTGGAGAAGAACTAGTAATGTACGTGGCCACCATTTATAGCTCATTACTAAAAAATTCTGAATCAAATCCAGGAGATGTAATCATATTAGTATGGTCAATAAATGCATCCTTGTTACTGAAAACCAATACCAATTGCGCATCCAAGTTGGAAAGAATTAAGCTTCTGTTTGTAGATACGAATACTGCATGTCATTAAGAAGCACAGCTCTTGTTGCACCTCTATTTTCTATAATGCAGGTTTTGTAAGATTGGAGTAAAGTAGCATATACACTTGGAAAGCTGGGTAAGCTCTCTGAATTTAATAACAGGTATGCAAATATGGTTTTGTTTCTCATATTTCCAGCAGCATGGCAGGGTTTATATGCCACTTGCTACTCCTTATACCCATCAACATCCATTTTGTTTGCTCTTTCAATGTCTAGTAACTCTAATCCTGACTTGTCATATTTTTTGTTTCTTTGCTTATGCAGGAGAAATTCTATGCAAGAACTGTTTAGTTAATTTCCTGATGTTGTAGGTTGGTTGGTTTTCCTCTTGAATCTGAGACTAGATTTTAGGTGGCTCCTGGTTGGGTCATAAAAGTATAATCCAACTCTCGCTCATTGTTTTACTTGGCGGTTTAGTGTCATTCATTTTGTCTCTAAAGATAGGGGTGTCTTGACTCTAATGAAATGGTTTTATTCATTTTGTCTCTAAAGATAGGGGTGTCTTGACTCTAATGAAATGGTTTCTTTTAAGAGACAGCAGCAACATGGATCTCTAATTAGTAGCAGCAGCTATGAGGAGGAGTTGCTTTGTGTCCTTTGTTGGTCACATAGGGATTATTATGTAGAAAATCAAAGCTTCTCAGGTTTCCTAAACTATAGGCTTGGTTTGCAGATCCTCCACTGATCAGTTTGGTTACCCGGTTAAGGACTTAAATCTTGTTGGCAAAAGCTAGATTAGGATCAAACCTAGTTTTTTTAGTTCAAATTTTACTCAACGGAACGAGGATTATTTCCACCCACCTGGATCAGAACTAACCTGATTAAGGTCTTAACTAGGTTGGCTGGAAGTTGCCAAACTCAAAACATAGGGTCATGAATCTGTGCGTTGTGGCCTGAAGAGGTAATATGCTTGGATTAGGGATTTATAAAAACAGATTTACTGTTTAGGTACTACTTATTCTTTTAAGAGGCATGATTCAAAAGTTCTGATTGGAGTTGTTAATTAGATGACATAAAATCAACTATTAGCTTATTCGGACCCATGTTTTCTTCTTCGCGCACTTAAGAGCATGATGGTAAGTAGGAGTTTGTAGAAGTCGTACAAGGGGATTTTATTGCTTTGAGAAGATCGTTTGGATATAATATTACTGTCCAAACTCAACTAATAAGAATGCCCAAGATCCAATATGTGATGCTCAGTCCCTCTCTAATCAACGTCTACGTGGTGCTATAGTTCAAATCAAATCACCCGTTGTGTTTACACATTGGCGTGATTAGCGTTTTGGCACGGTTAGTAACAAGTGCGCTGATGTCACTACAAAAAACACAGTGATTAGCATGGTCAACCAATCACAAGTCTCCAGCTATCACCATATAGCTAGCCACGTAGCATCAACCATGAAATGCAACTACTTTCCCACCTTGTATACAAGACTCTTTAAAGAAAGAAACCTCTAAATTTGTTCAACATGCTCTCAGAGATATCATGTTCATCTTTTACATTCAAGACTTTCAATTAATATTATTATATACAAAGCTTTAATTTGAAAGTCGGAGAGGTTTTTTTTTTTCCTTGGATTAAGCCCCAACGCGCATAGTGCTCTCAGGTTAAGGTTAATGGTTGTCCGATCATTAGAAGAACCTTATGTCCTTTAAGAGGCTAACTTTTCAACAAAACATCATAATGTTCTGTACAACAACATCATCATCATTATCATCAATTCATCCAAGTTCTGTTGCTTGGATCTTGTCACGTTGGTACGTGACAACCCCTTTATTTCTTGTATCAACAATTAAGAAAGATGCAGCTTATATTGTTTTAGATTGAGTTGTTTTTAGCCAATAGAGCTAGTTAAAAGTTTAGAAAAATACTATTTAAATTCATGGAAAGTCAATACTTCATATTATGTATTCAATAGTTGACTCACCAAAAGTTTGACATTTGATTTAAGTGGATGGATCTCCCATGATTTGTTGTGGCTTTTTAGAAATAACTACCATCTCTTGATTATCAATGGTAGCTTTTGCCTAGATGATATCGGATTGGGGTATAGTATAGTTTATTTGAGTGAGATCACCATATGGTGATGTTATGAGTATAGGTTGGTTGAATAGGATTTTTGAATGTTGCTTTGCAATTCGCATACCCGGTTGAAGAAGACCTGAATTTTTTGATACTTGTAAAACCATGGAATTTGATTAATACAAGTTTATATGCTTTTCAAGTGATTTTTGTCAGCCCATCTATTCCTTTATAAGACTTGCATGATTAATGTGTTCCTGAATCTCGACATTTAGAATTAGCGAAATAATAGAAAGTAGGTGTAAATTTTTGGAATGTAGGTTTAATGTGAGCTTGAGCTAGAAGACCCAAATATGGGCAACTTGTTTTTGTTCTGGAGTATTCTCATTCTGATATCGGAGCACTATATCCATGAAAGTGAAGGTGAAGTTAATAGATTTGAGTAGAGGTTGAATAGTTTACTGTTGCTTCAAAGATTTAAGGTCATTTAATGACGGATTCAAATAAATGTGCATGTTGACATCTTTGAAAGCATTACTCAATAAATGATTTCTGCTCTATGGAAATCGTATAGTGTTGATCTATGTTGATACAAGAAAAAAGGGGTTTGCCACACTTCTACGTGGCAAGATCCAACAGCAAAACTTGGATGAGTTAATGTTGATGGTAATAATATAGGAAACGAGATGCTTTGTTGGGAAAATTGGCTTCTTGAAGGGTAGGCAACTACTATTCTGATGATCGGACGACATGCATTCACATGAGTGCTAGAGGGTGTAGAGGCTTGGTCTTGGCCAAAGACTTCCTGTGGGGTAAGTCAATGTTTTGAACATTGTAGATCTCAATTGCAATAGTTGAATGTAAAAGATGTGAAGATGATAAATTATATTTTCACGGAGCATGTAGAATATTGTTGGGGTTTCTTTGTGGGGAGCTTTATATATGAATCAGAACAGCGATTATTTTTCATGGTTGATGATACGAAGTTAGTTTTAAGGTTATGGTATGTGATTGGTAGGCTATGTTAGTCGCTGCACTTTTGAAAGTAGTTGCAAGACGGTTGATGTTAACCACGTTGATACGCTAATTATACGAAGAGTGAGTTGATTTGGACTGTAGTGCCATGTGGGCGTTGGTTGAAAGAGAGGATGAGCATTGGGTATTGTGCATTGGGTTCATTAACGATTGGGCTTGGGCGGTAAAGCTGTATCCTAACGATAGAGTTGTATCCAATATAAATTCTCATTTGAAGGAGTCTTTAGGCGAGAAGGGAAAAAAAATTGACCTCTTGGGTTATTTGTACAAAATCTTGCATATTGGTGGACGGCACTTTAAGCGCAACAAAACGATTCTGCAGAAGAATTAGGGACAACATTATAAGTGGTTTTCCCTAAACAATTTATTACACTGCAGAAGCGGTATTTTAGTTCAAAAATTTTGTCTAATCATTAATCTAATTTTCCTTGTTAGTTAATCATAATCTAATTTGTTTAATCATTATCTAATTTGACATCAAGAATTGATTTCCTTTCTAGGTACTCGGTGCGCGTGGCCACTGTGTTAGTGTTTGACAATATACGGGATCAAGGGAAGACGGGTTATACGTGCGGGTGAGAATTAATATTGTACGAACCTATTGTCAATTGTATATTGTCAAAGGTTGTTTGCACTTTAATCCTCCTAAAGTTTCACTCCTTCAACTTTGATATTATGAAGTCCTATCTCGACAACTTGATGATCAAGCTGTGCTGTTAAGAAGTTGCCTTCAATTTTGTTCGAGAATATATCGACATATAAAAGATGGCTAAGAAGTAAAATCTCTTGCATGATTTCAGTTTTCGGAGTTTGGGCAAAGTAAGGGCTTTGGTTACTAAATTGGCAAGTTAGTATTAATTTTGAAATTTTGGGTCATTAATTATCATAGAAATGTAGGTACCAAAGCAAAAAAAAAAAAAAAAGTTTGAACATTGGATATAAAAACACTAATAATCTCGTGATATGATATGAATATCACTGATGTCTCTTATGGGCTAATAAGTTTAACAAAAATAAAAAGAACAAATTTTGCGTTGCGAAGGAAAGCCCTTCGCTTTTAGGATTCTTTTTTTTTTGTTTTCTCGAGCACCCCCAAGAAGCGTGAATCGGTATTTTCAGTGGCGGAAGCCCCATTGTATTTTATTTGCCCGCGTGTGACATTTGCGGTTGACTTTGTTTGGATGTTTTTTCCTAAAAGTTGAAAGGGGTTTTTTTTATAACTTCTAAACTTAAAGGGGGCTTATCTGGTGTTTTTAAAGTTATGGGGGTTTATTTGGTAATCGCTCAAAGTTAAACGGGTTATGTCTTTTAACTTGAGCCTTATGTAGCCTGTCCTTCTTCTCATACCGGTCCATGCTAAGCTAACCTACGCCGCGGAGAATCACTGAGCATATACTCATGACACGACAGCCCTACAGCGGTCTGCTGCACCTGCGGCCGTGGTCCCCTAGCCACGCCACGAAGGGCCGCTCCTTGCCCTACTCCCCTCGTGATCCGATGGGGCCCACAAATGGTCCGAGACCAGGTGGGCGTGTTGAGCCCTCGGGCGTCAGCTCCCTCGCGGTCTCGGTCATCTAGCCGTCCCGTCCTTATCGTGTACCCCAGATGGGGACCAAGCTATAAAGAGAGATCTGGACCGTTGGCTTTGTAGAGTGGTATCGTGCACTGGAGGAACAGTGGAATCGGAAATGATGGCCCTGAGATCGCCGTATGATGGCTGGCCCGTTGCCACACAGTCATGGGACCCAAGTTTGTGACTGATCTTACCTAAGATACTTATGGGCCCCACATGATTTGGAAAAATTATTGGAGATACTCTTGATCTATGGGCTAGTTTGTTTGCACGAAACTAGCAAAGAAGTTATTGAAGTAGAGGAAGTTTCTCCTACTTCAAGCAAAAAATTATGTTTGTTTTTTCAAAAAGACTACTTTAGTTACTTTCATAAATACAGATGTGACGTTTAGGTGGCGCTCCTACTTATTAATTTTTTTCGCCCTTGAAAGCTCAGAAGTAGAGCGGAAATGGAAAAAAGTGGGGTCCACTTAAATTAGAGATTTACCAAGGGCAGATGATCTCAAATAATATATCCAGTTTTTATCCAAACAAACAAACAAATAGAAGAAGATGATGAAGTACTATTTTCGCTACTTCTAAAAATATATAAAACAAACAAAATAAGTACTACTTCTGTTACTTTCTACTTCATAATTGAGGAAGTTACATCTTTGATCCACTTCTTACTTCTAACAGTTACGTCCATCCAAACAGGACCTAAGCGGTTGTTTGGTTAAGGTATTTTATAGAAAATTTTTGGAAAATATCCTGACAGTGGTAGTTTCGTAAATAAATTTTTTTCCATAATTTCTATAAACTGTATTTGATTCAAAATAATTTTACAAAAAAGATTTCTGTAAAGTACAGAAAAGAGCCCACTTCTTGCGGTTGCCTATTTGAGCTATTGAGATAATAAAAAAACCTAAACTCTTATGATTTTGCGCTTGATCTTCCAAGCTATTTAGCTACTAGAATTAATTAGATTTATATGAACTTTATCAGTTTGGGTTGATTTGTTTGGAATTCATCAAATAAGCTCTGATTTTTGTGAACTTCGCGGTTTGGGATTATTTGATTGAAGTTCATCATTTTGGGTTGATATGCCGAGCTATTGAGGTTGATTATCGGTTGATTTTACTATTTATTATGGTTTGATATTTTCATATAGTTTTACTTCATATGTTTGATATCTTATTACAGCTGAGTTTTATAGTCTTGTGTCAATCATGATTAGTATTCATAAAGGTGGATATATAAAATAGTTTAGTGGATAAGTTTATTGTTCAAATTCTTGTCATTCATCATTGTGGCATATAACATCTTAAACTATATTCTTTATAATTAATGTACATGAATGGTGTAGATGAAGAACAAATAAAGAAGATGTGTGGTAATACGTATATATCTTCTATGGTTACAATAATAGCTTATTGAGAATGTGTGCTAGGCGCAAATCAATCTGTAATGCTTCAAGAGAGGACAAAATAAGGATTTTTTTTTTTTTGAAATGCTCACTTCAAGCATGTCTTTGAAGGATATAATTATAGTTGTAGGTCTTATATTAGAATGAGGCCTGAAGCATTTTTCAAACTTGCGGATATATAGCGAAATAATGATTTTTAAAGGACACAAGACACCTCCAAGTTAAAGAACAACTCGCTATGTTCATGACAATAGTGGGTCATAAAATAAAAATATAGTAATAAGGATCAAATTTATAAGATTGAGTGAAACGGTTAGTAGGTACTTTAATAAAGTCCAACATGTTATGAATGGTCTTCGCAATCGGTACATGAAGCAAGCATCTAATGAGATTCTACCGGAGATTGCTAACAATCCAAACTATTTCTCTTACTTCAAGGTAAGAGTGAAATAAATTGTTACCATTATTGATTTGCATAATTTAATAATATTAGAAACTAATATTTTGAATAATATACTATTTTGATAGGATTGCATTGGTATGATAGATAGAACACACATTGACGCAATATTACCCTCTAACTTAGTTACGCGCTTTAGAGGGCGTAAAGGTGTAAAGCAAAATGTTTTAGCTACGTGCACTCCAAAATAAACTTTTCATATATGTCCTAGCTGGGTGGGAAGGTGTGGTAAATGACTACAAAATTTTGCAAGACGTGTTGTCCAGAACACAACCTCACAGATTGAGAGTTTATGATGGTATCTCCCACCTCATTTAATAAATAGACAACTAAATGTTATGATCGAATTGATCAAAAAAAATTTATAATGAAAGTAAATATTACCTTTGTGACGCTGGATACACTACTATGCCCCACTTCATTTCTTCGTACTGTGGTGTACGTTATCATTTAAATGAACAAATTGATAGGACATCCAAAAATAGAAGGGAGTTATTCAATTTAAGACACTCTTCTTTACGGTCTAAAGTTGAATCAACTTTTGGTACTTTGAAAAATCGGTTCAAAATTCTTTCGGCGAAACTTAATTATCCATCCCTACATAAGTGGACATCGTCTTAGCATGCACTATATTGCATAATTTTATTGCAATTGAAGATCCACAATATGACATTTTGAATGAGAATGTTAAAATTGATGAGGAGATCGAGAAGGTGACAAATGAAGATGACAACAACATAGTTGACTACACTCAATCTAGGACATAAAGGGAGGATCGTGATGCAAAAAATGAATGGAAGGATCTTAGGGACCAACTTTCTTGGGCAAAGTGGGTTGATTATTACGCAAAGTATAAAGATGGTGATACCACTAAAATTAGCTTGTAGTTTTATTGTTTCGGATATTTCATTATGTATTTTTCTATTTCACAATTGTGCTTTTATGGACAATGTAATTTATCATCCATTACTTGCAACTATGTAATTCTTAATTAACTATCTTTGATTATAGTTCTTTATTATTATTGTGTATAGGTATTTTACTATTTTACTATTTTTTACATATTTATGATTCTTTTTTATTATTGCATATAGGTATGTCTAACAATGAGGGAGGAAAGAAAAACTTGAACTCTTCACTACATGCACCGCCAAATTTCTCAAGCGGTATTAATATGAACTTTATGTCATACCCACATCAACCGTTCATTCTACCACATACAATGGCGAATTCCTTCCCACAATTCCCACCATTTGATGGGAACTATAGTGGAATGACCCAAAAACATGTGTCTATAGTGGAATGACCCAAAAACATGTGTCATACACTAACTTGATGAATAGTCCCCAAGACTTGTATATCCCATCTTTGAGTTCTCAATGCAACGTTCCACAACAAATGTCACCAACCATTGGTGAATCTGGTGGACCTCAAATCAATGTTACTGATGTGAGTCGGGAGGTATTACCCTCCAAGAAGACCAAAAAATTGGCTCACAAGGGGAAAGTTCCTGCAATAAGAGGAGCTACTAGCCTTAATTCGAAGGGGGTTTCCAACATATGGTGGCGTCCCGAGCATGATGCAGAGCTTATACCATGTCTTGCAACACTCACGGATACCTGTATGAAGGTTGATAAAAACTTCAAAGCTGAAGCTTACAAAATAACAGCTATGAAGATGAACATGAAATTCAAAACTAACTACACTCACCTTCATGTGATTAACTGCATGAACACTTGGAGATCCAAATTTGAGCTTATGAAGGTTTGCACCAACATAAGTGGTATGGTATGGGATGAGGAAAACTGAGTGGTAATCCTAGATGAGGAGACACTTAATACATGGGCTCATGTATTAATTCATATCATAACAATGAATTTAATTTAATTGGACTTGAGTGGATTATAATTAATTTCACACTACATTTTTCACATGTTGCGGGACAATACTAACTATAAGCTAAGAGGATATATAAATAAGCCTCTTTCTTACTCAAACATTTACAGAAGGTCATGGGTGATGATCATGTTAGGGGTGAATTTTTTAAGCTATTTGATGATACGATTGGCGTGAACAACGTCATTCCTCTTTATGATGATGATGGAAGCATTCCACATGAGAGTGAGACTGAGCCTTAATCTGATGCTAACACTACCCCGAGCTCCACTTCTAGAAAATCCCAGCATGAGTCTGACACAAAGCCTTCCTCAAGTAAAAAAAAACCTCAGAAATCCAATGATGATGAGCTGATACGTAGCTTTGTTGAGTCAATGTCAAACTCAATTAGAAATCAACACGTCATACATTGGACTGAGCAATTTGCTGCAGTTTTGAAGTCCTACAG